GGGTTTGTAGACCTATATAAAAATTTTATATAATATTTATATAACTTTATAGAGCTATATAAAGTTTATAAAAAAAAACAACTTTGTGATGTTAATTAAAATTTTTATTGTAATGTCAACTTATATACATTATGATTTGATATTTTAATTACATTATTACTATTATATTTTAAACAATAACATTAATTTTATAAATTCTTATCAAGTTTTATCAATTATCTACATTAGTGTTAGGAGTTCTAGACAATGTTCTTAAGCCTCCACATCCCTACCCAATATCTTTAAGACATTCTGAATCGAATTCAAAGATATTTTTTGTGCATAATTGTAGGTTAAATTTGATGAATTTGATAAGATTTGATGAGCTTCTGTTAGCATTACAAACAATGATAAGTATAATTCATACAACAATTTAACACTTTTCTTTAACTTTTGTCAAAATCTTATAATAACTCATGCTTTCAAAATACATGTTGTTCAGCAAATCAGTGAGTTTGTCACTAATTCCTTTCAATTCTCATATAACCTATAATGGCTAAGTCTAAATAGGCATGTTAGAGTTGGCTGAGTGGTTTATCTATAGATAAGTACTAGTCTTCTCTTCTAATTCTTTCCTTTCACCTATTCTTCTTTAACTCTTGCTTTCTCTTATCTTCCTTCTACTTCCTTAACCTGGGGTTACGATATGTCGAATCAGGTTGGAGTCCTCTTGCATTAACAGCTTGGTCACATGACTTATGTCAAATAAACAATATGCAGTTTAGTAGGTGTCAAATAGACAAATGATAGTTGATAACGATAGTTTATTAGTATGGTTTGGGTTATAGTTTTACTTTTACACTATATAATTATTAAAAACCCTTTCTTTTCCATCCTAAAGCTATCAATTTGAATCGATTTAACAATTTAAACATATAAAAAAACAAACAATTAACATTGCAAAAAAAAATAAAAATAAAAACTCCAAGTTCAGTCTGTTATAAGTATTGCAAAGATAGCTTTATTTTTTCATTGAAAAATAGCACCATTCAAAATTCTATTTTAAGTTGTATAAAAAAACCAGACCATGCAATTAATAGTAATTCTAGTTGTTGGAGTAGTCAATTTTCATATGAAAAATGAATTAGAAATAAATTTACAGTTGAAAGTAATAAATATTCGGTGGAAGAATATAAAATATTTCATAATTATAAATCACCTGTTTTTGTAATACTTTAAATTCTTGCTCATTCTTGGGCAAAATTTAAAAATAACATATTTAATACCAATGAGAAAAGTAATCATTCAATTTCATGAAACATGTAATGGAATTATCGTTATATTTTCAAAGAGTATGCATATGTAAATTTATAATGATATCATTATGAAATAGAATCATCATTATATTTTCAAAAAGTATGCATATGTAAATTTATAATGATATCATTACATAATTATATAAATCACTTGACTTCCTTTGGCAACTAGTATATATAAATTCTCATTCTTTAATACTTTCAAAACATCAATAATTATGCTATTGTGATATTAAAAGAATAATGGTTGAAATTGTAGAAAGTAAAGAAATTTTGAAAAATTCGATCAACCTTATTTGGAAAGCAACTGGTGAAAAAGTTGTTACTATTACTTTCAATAACTACTTACGCTTAGCAACTATTTCATTAAATAATAAAACCAACATTACTGTAAATTTAGAAGTACCAAGAGCAAAAAACTTTTTTGTTGTATAATATTTGAATTTCAGAATATGCAACACTAACTGAATTTTTTTTTAGAGAATTGCTGATAATAAGAATGTTCAAAAATGTCAACTATGCAACAATAGTATTAGTGACAACTCAAAACATGACCAAGACATAGATAAATTAATTAATGTTGTCTCTAAAATATTAATCAATCAACAAATAGCATGGCTGATGATGTTGAAAATGTGTGTCAACTTAATAATGAATGCACTAATATTAATAATCAGATAAGAAACTTTTTAATTATGGCAGCTGAGATCAGTTAAAATTTGGGGTCTTTAACTAAATCAACTAAACTTTTTGAAAAGGATGATGAAAAAAATAATAAGGTAAAAAAATCAATAATTTAATTCAAATTAGAATTTTAAATTGATTAAACCAACTTACTCTAATAATTAAAAGAGTGAAATAGAAAATATTGTTGTAAGTATTATTAGGTTAAACTTTTCTATTAGTCTGAAGAGTAATTATTCAAATATTTTTATAAACACCAAAATGATTCTAGAATTTATTACGCAATATAAATATAAATATTCAAAATAATAACAATGATTAGATAAATAAATGTTGTAAATTTTGCTATTAATCATATATTATTCAAGCATTTTTTTAAAAAAATATTTATAAAATTTGCATAAGGAAAGAATTGATAAGGTAAATATGTTTTTTTTTTGAATTCTTAAATTAATTCAAGTTTTTTAAACTGCAAAAAAAATGATCTAGAATTTATTGCACGAAACTACAGATGTTGACAATGATAGGGTAAATAAATCTTAATCATGTAAAAAATGGTTCTAGAATTTAATGCATGAAACTATAAATATCGATGAGATAAATATGTATTTTTTTTTTATTTTTTATTATAAATTAATTAGTGTTAATTCAAGTGTTAATTCAAGTGTTTTAATTATGTAAAAAAAATTTTTTTAGAATTTAACACATGGAACTATAGATATCAATGATGAACATGAAGAAAGAAATAATAGGATAAATAATCAAAAATTTAGTTTAAATTCTACTAATCAGAAGAGCAATTATTCAAGTATTTTTAAATATGCAAAAAGCATGAAACTATTCACAGTATTGATAACAATTTAAAGAATTTTCCAAATCTATATGTTCTTATTACAGAGAAATTTTCATCAGCAAGTATTTTTTATATTAATGATTGCATAAGCATCAACACAATAATTGAATTTTATAGATAAATTGATTATTTTATTTTTATTTTCATAATTAAAAAGACAAATATTTTGATATTCATGTAGATTCAATATGTATGAAACCTATAACAAATAATGTATACTATAATTTTAACTTGTTTTTTTAATATTTCACAAGTTTATTCGAAGAAAGAAAACAAAATCGATAGGTAAGCTAACCTTTTACATCACCAATCAAAACACTAAATTAATGATTTGAAATTATGTTTTAAATATTTAGAGGCTTCAAATTCTTTAGATTCAGCTTCAGAAGGTTCAAATTCAGCTTCAGATTCTTTAGATTCAGCTTCAGAAGATTTAAATTCAGCTTCAGAAGCTTAAGATTTGGCTTCAGAAGCTTCAGATTTGGCTTTGATTTCAGAAATAAACATCCTGGTGAGTAAAAAAATACATATAATTTACTAATTTACCCAAAATTTAATTATTTAATTTTGATATAATGTCATATAAAAAACTTATAATACTTAAGATTAACTTTTTTTAATAATCACAAAAAGAATGAATCTCCTAAAAAAAAAAGAAAATGTGCAATTGTTGAAGTAAAAGAATCCAATATTCATGAAAAGAATGAAAAAAAGTATTAAGTATGTGAATACATACATATTAAATATATATTTTTTTTATATTAAATTTTTTTTAAATCATCAACTTATAAATTCACTATAATGCAATCAGTTTATATTAATTTATTAAAGAAAAAAATGAGAGAAAAGGGAATGCCCAAAACTTTTGTGTCTCAAGACCTAACAAAAATAACTGAAATGTACTCTCAGCCTGTCAACAGATATTTTAATGAAGCCTCAATATTATCATTAGGACCAGAACTATTGCCAGTGCTAATGAAAAATGTTAATAGTTGCACTGCTTATCTTCGAATTTGGGATTCTCATTATAATCATTGTATAAGAGAAATCAGGAACCAGAAGTACAAAATATTAAAACTTATTTATTCATTATCTGAAGTTTTTTTCAACATATTAAAGATTTGTCATCAAGAACAAGATAATGAGAAAGCAATAGAGAAAAATACAATTTATTGGAAGAGGAGGGATATTAAATCATGAATGAACAAACTCTAAAATATTAGTTCATGTTCAATGCTAAAAAAATGGACAGGATGTTGGAGACTATGCCACTTTCTTTGAATGAAAAATGTTACACTAAAAGAAATAGTTGACATAAAGTTGGATGCAAATTTTTTTCTTTATGCTACAGAAAATGAATACAACTTTTTCATTAAAAAATTATTAGGAAAAGAATTCTCTAATTTTTCAAATATTAAAGATAAAAAAATATTGGACTTAGTAAATATTGTTAAAAATGTTTGCAAATAAGATGCTTAATTTTTTTAAAAAAATCTGTAGTAAGTTAGAATTTTGCTGATAGCTACATTTATATTTTTCTAAATACTGCGCTTTATTGTATTTGAATTCAAGGATGTAAGGCATGTGATCACAAAACTTAATGTTAATTATTTTATTGTCAAAATTCAATTTCTTTCTAAAGAATATCACGTAATAAATAGTTACATTTATTCCAGTACTAGTTTTATAATGTTGATATAATTTATTCTAACATTAGTATAATGTCAATATTGATACATAATTCGGTAAGCTTTTAACTCTTAATTTAACATTAGACTTATAAGGATAAAAACTAAATTGAACTCCTACAGCTATAAGAGGCTGTCAGAGTTCAAAAATTGAGTAAAAAAATTAAAACAGATTCTCATAGTGTGAATTAACTAACATTAATTAATGTGAATTAGCTATCACTACAGTAAATTGTATAAATTAACTATTGGACAGATTATAATTTACTTTATTTTTTATTAAAAAAAATTATTCAAGAATTCAAGGTTTGGGTCATATCTTTCAAATACTAAATCCATAAGTTATTGATAGCTTCATATTGCTCTATTGAAAATTTAGATAAGTAGTCATTTTTAATATATAAAATAGCATTCTTTGTATAAATAGACTTCCAAATTTCACTGTTGAAATTTATTATAAAGCAATAAAATAGGTCGGTTATGGAAAGTTCTAGAAGCTTTTCCTTTATTTTGCCAAGGTCTTTTAGCTTTTTGAAAAACCATTGTGGCTTGGTATTCGCCTATAATTTGAATATATATATATATTAATTTAAAATATTAATAAACTAATAAATCTAAAAAAAACTTACTGGAAAGTTCATATATAATTTGATAATTTTTCTTTTTTTTTTAATTTCTGTTCGTAAAAGAATTTCTTTAATCTGAACTTCTGAAATATTTTTTAGATAATTCATGATTGTTATTAGTTGTGCTCTATCAGTGCAAGCATATATAGCAGTCTGCACACTTGATAGGACATCAGTATTGTAATGCTTTAGAAAAAATTAAAATTCTATATAATCAATACTAACACTAAAGAAACTCAATATAATTTATAACCTAAGTTGTGCATGAAATCTTACCAGTATGTAGTTTTGTAATATCTACCCAAAACTGAAGAATTTTGTATTTCATCTAGCTTGAAAGTTTTTTTTATATTAAATATAGAAAGGACATTTTTATTTAGATTTTATTCGAAAAGAATGGTATAGATGGTTGGTGATTTTAACAATGCAAGCCTTCTCAAATAATTAGAAGTAAACAAATTAGTTATTTATAATTTTTATAAAAAAATATTATTTATTAATACAAATTATATCATTGTTTTAAATACTGTACAGTATGTAACAATCAACAAATCAATAAATAAGTTTGTGCAGAACCAAAATAATAAAACTTTTGAAAATAAATTTTAAAAAAAGCTTTAAAACTAATAGACTTATACAATTTATAAGCTATTTTTTAACTATAAAAAATTACTCGATATCACTATCTTACACAATCCAATAATTATTATTGTTCTTTGTATGTATGAAAAAAATAATTCAAGTAACACATCTCTGCAATAGCCCAATTTAAAATATAAGGTCTTTAAAATATAAGGTTCTTATTTTTAATACTTAGAAATAAAATATGTATTAATATTATGTATCAATAAATTTTCATTTTCATAAGATCACATGAATTTAGCAGTCCCATTGGACCATAAAATCATATAATTACTGTATACTAATCTCTGAATCAAATAATCATTGAATATGAGAGTTTTGTGACTAACTCTAGTATCATCCAAAAGATCTTTTAAGAACTGGTTGTATTTTTAGATTTTACATGTCATCAGATATCTGGCTATAATGCCAGATTCTATGAGAATTGATGCTAAACAATACATTATGTTGAATAGCTCTATAAGCCTCCATGTCCCTCTCTAATATTTTCTCTCCTGTCTATTGTCAATATTTAAAATTGATTTGATCTTTTCTTTAACAAAACCACGCAGGGTTTTCTGAGTTGGAAGCCTTGTCATCTTTTGTTTATATCCATTTGATAGTGTTACGAGTAGTGTTAGATATGCACCTCTAAGTTCATATAACATTTCTAACATTTTCTCTTTTACTCAAGTTTTTGTTGAATTAAGTTCATCATAACTTATAAAGAATTTATGAAGTATGAACTAAACTCTAATTTATGGTTAACAAGCCACAAATACACTATAAAAACAGACAAAATTTAGATATTAAACCCAGATCTTCTACTATTAAAAACAGTTAGTTAGCAATCAAAATTTATTTAAATCTAACCTAATAAAGTAATTTTAGTAGTTTTAGGCGAAGCATTTCCAGTTACCTTCTTACCACTATAATTTAGTTCAATAGATGTGGTGGATCCTGTCTTCTAAGTAAAGTAAGTTGGGAGTGAGACCATTTAGGGATCATTTTGCACTGAATATTAAATAAGTTAACTGGTAATTAATTTACATCAGCTAATCAGATGAAAGAAAGTCCCATGATGATCAATAACCTTAAAGTTAAATAACTTATCAATAGAATTTTTTTTTGCAAAAAAAGCGACATGTAAATTGCATTGTTATTTTAATTCTTACATGTATGTATATTTCTTTTTACTAACATTAAATCAATTAATTAAATTTTATAATAAAGATTAAACTATTGCTAATAAAAAGTATTTGAATTACATCTTTCTTAAAGTTATTTACCATTTTTTTAACAGGGTTCAGGTTTTTTTCAATCGCATTTAACCATTTTCTTCATTGAAGAAAAGTTTCCAATATTTTATCATCTTTGATAATATTTCTTTGTAACTTCAACATCACACTGGCATCTGAATTATATTCATCTATACTTAAATCCATCTCAGCTTTTTTATAATCACAATATTCTATTTTCAGGATTAGCTAATGCGACAGGTGAATCATTCTTGATAGCTTGCCAAATTGTTTATTGTCTTTCGCTTAAACAAATTATTTTCGTTATTATTAATCAAAATAAATATAAAATTAATTGAATTTACTATACGCGGCACATCTCTAGGGACAACCAAAATAACACCCCGGGACGTTAGTTATTTCGCGATGATACAGTAAATTAAAAATAACATGTTTTACCATTAAATTTTATTTGATTTATAAATAGAAAGGAAAGGTTCAAAATACAACAAATTTCTAAATACTCTGTGAAATTTTAGAACAATTCAAAAGAAAGTACAAATTTTACGTTAAATTTGCATTGAATTAATATAATTTAATTGTTTTGATAGGAAAAACTAAAATAGGTCGACCGTTAACTTCATATGAATCATATCGATCTATATGATTAACGTTAATATAAATAAACTAAACTGACATAATTAATATAAAAAGAGCAAAAAATATGCATGAGATGAATGTGTGCAAGTGTGTAACAAATTTAATCATAAATACGGATAATGCATGCATCTGCTTCGTTTAGGCTCAATTTTTTTCTTTAAAATGAACCAAGAAAGTTCTTCACAGCTTCTTCTTTCTGGAAACAATTATCGTCTTGGAATAGGAGTTGAAAAGGATGAAAAGAAGGCATTCGAATATTACCAGAAATCTGCTGATATGGGGAATGCTGCTGCAATAAATAATCTAGGTGATTGTTATGAAAATGGAATTGGAGTTGAAAAGGATGAACAGAAGACATTCGAATATTACCAGAAATCTGCTGATATGGGGAATGCTGATGGAATAGATCAAGTTGGACATTGTTATCGAAATGGAATTGGAGTTGAAAAGGATGAACAGAAGGCATTCGAATATTACCAGAAATCTGCTGATATGGGGAATGCTGCTGCAATAAATAATGTTGGATATTGTTATCAAGATGGAATTGGAGTTGAAAAGGATGGAAAGAAGGCATTCGAATATTATCAGAAATCTGCTGATATGGGGAATGCTCCTGCGATAAGTAATGTTGGATATTGTTATAAAAATGTAATTGGAGTTGAAAAGGATGGAAAGAAGGCATTCGAATATTATCAGAAATCTGCTGATATGGGGAATGCTCCTGCGATAAATAATGTTGGATATTGTTATCAAGATGGAATTGGAGTTGAAAAGGATGGAAAGAAGGCATTCGAATATTACCAGAAATCTGCTGATATGGGGAATGCTGCTGCAATAAATCAAGTTGGAAATTGTTATCGTCTTGGAATTGGAGTTGAAAATGATGAAAAGAAGGCATTCGAATATTACCAGAAATCTGCTGATATGGGTGATGCTACTGCGATAAAACAAGTTGGATATTGTTATGAAAATGGAATTGGAGTTGAAAAGGACGGAAAGAAAGCATTCGAATATTATCAAAAATCTGCTGATATGGGTGATGCTGATGCAATAAATCAAGTTGGAAATTGTTATCGAAATGGAATTGGAGTCGCAAGAAACATACGAAGTGCCAATAAGTGTTATAAAAAGTAAATAAACAAAACACATTTTTATGATATAAATTTTTTTCAATTGATTTTATTAATTTTAAATTCTAATAGAGAAAGAAGTATAAAGAGTATGTACATTTTTTTTTTGCTCATTCATTTTCTAGCTAGAACTAACTTTTAATAAAAAATTTTTCAAGAAATAATTAAATCATTATATCCTCCTGATCTTGATAATAATTTGAAAAACTTATTGGACGATGAGAGATATCAATTATC